CCCCCCCCCACACACACACACCCAAATGGAGGCCTGTGTGTGTGTGATTGCCCCACCGTGTGTTGTGTTGCCATTCATCCATGGTGCCTGCAGGATAGCAGACACGATGGGTCGTGTGTTGGCGGAGTCGGCCGACAAGAAGGCCAGAGAGGACGAGATGAACATGATCAAATACGTCAAAATGGCAGAGGAAAAGGCAAACAAGGTAGGCAGGCTAGGCAGGTCTGTCTGCCACACAACTAACTAACGTGTGTGTCGAGTCGAGTCGATGACTGTGAGCAGGAGGCTCAAGAGAAGATTGAGCGTCAAAAGGCGACTGTGCTTAAGATAAGACAAGTACTGCAGGAGCAACAAGAGGTATGTAGCTAGGTGAATGAATCAATGGATCGATCAAAGGACCCTCACGCACCCACACAATACAATACGCTTGGGAGAGTGGCGCTCACACACGCTCCGGGTCTGTGTGTCTGTCCATCAACCAACAGGAGAAGCGTCAGCGTGCCCAGCAGCATCGAACAGAGATGGCAGAGCAAGCCGCTATGTGGAAACAACAAGTACCAAAACAAACACCCACACATTGCTGTTGGTTGTCATTCCTTCCTCGCTGTGGTGTGTGTATGGCATCAATCCAATCAGATCGCCGCAGGCGATGCCAAGGAGCGTGCAGAGGAGGCGGCACGGCGGGAGCGACGCGCACAGATGGACGCAACACTCGTCTCACAGATGCACGAAAAACAGTGAGCGAGAAACAGTGAGCGAGCCAGTGAATGCAATGCACACACAGAGGCAGACAGACAGAGGGGGAGAGAGGAAGAGACATGCAATGCCCGCACATACAAACAAATGGGTGTGTGGCATGGCATGTAATAGGCATGCTGATGACACCGGCGAGGCCTTTTCGAGTCGCCTTTGTGCCGTCAATCAGAAGCTCTTCCAGCAGATGGTATGGTCCGTCTCACTCACAAAGACAGACACCACACACACCCCATAAGATCCTCCCCTCCCTGTGTGTGGTGTAGTATGAGGAAGGTGCGTTGCCGGAGGATCTTTACTCGACGGTCATGGCCAGGGCGGCAGAGGCACGCGGCAAGAGGACCAAAGACAAACAGCAGCAGAGTGAGTATGCAATGGCAATGGGTGGTGTGCCAGAGGTAGACATGACCCAGTACGGCAAGAGGCAGCAGGCGTAGACAACCACGACACGACACGAGGGGGGGTGCACTCACTCACTGTATGGGTGTTTTCATGTTGTGCGTGGCGTGTGTGTGTGTGTTGGGTTTATGTTGGGTTTAATTTATTGTGGGCTGGCTGGGTGCACCAAAGTGTGATTGATGTGCTGTGGTGTTATATGATCAATGGGGGGGAGAATGATTAATTGGTGGGTTGAATTCATTTCATTTGGCAGACACACAGGATCGAACACAAAGCGATCGCATAGAGACAGACAGACAGATCCATAGCTAGAGAGAGAGGGAAAGTCACCCTCAGTGAGTGCACACACACCGTATATTATATCTATATGTCCATCCATGGCGATCCATCGGTCATCGATCGGTCTGTCTGTCTATCTGTCTGTCTGGCGTACTTAAATACACATACACACATACACAGACAGGCAGCTGGCAGGCAGGCAGGAAAGACCAAAATACCAACACCACCAGCCAGCACCAACCAATACCTTTATCCCGTTCGTTTATGCCATCGCCCTGACGAGTGTGTGCACATACGTGTCGTCTGGCCATGTATGGCTGTGTGCTGTGCCGCTGCTGCTGCCTCAGCAGGTGCCATCTTGCCACGCAGGAGTGCGTAGGAACACCCTGGCAGCACGATGGCAGACCACCGCGCCAGCAGCGGCGCACCACACAGCTGGTGGCCTCACATGCACATGCACGAGAGCAAGACAGCGAAGACATACGTGACCAAGGTATCATATCCAACTGAGGGAGGGAGGGATCGGCATGCACTGGCAGGCACAAAATGCCTTATCCCTTCTGTCCTTGCTCAATTTGTCATCTCTTTCTCTCCCTTTCTCCACGTGTGTATGTCGGTGCCGCGCCGACACGCGGAGCGAATCATCTCCCAGCCGCAGCAAAGCTGCTGGCAGACGATTCGCAAAGCGTGTCAGAGCGACACACATCACATCCACACACATACCGACACACCCCATGGCATACATCAACTCGCCCTTCGGCCCTTATCAAAAACCCCGGCCCACCCCCCCTTACACACAAACACCTGGCGAGCAGAGCACCCGACCGGCACCGGCAGAGACACACTAAGATTGCGATGGCAGGCACGTACTCTCACATAAAAAGACACGCAGAGAGAGACGCTCACGCGCCACGCACATAGGAACGAAGGCAGGGAGGGGGCCAGGGAGGGAGGGAGGGAGAGTTTAGAGGGACAAAAGGCCCGAAAAGAGACGCACGACATACATACAATACAATACAATACAGTACACACAGGCTCATGCATTGCATGCGACGAACGGTTCACGCAACACGCCTGCAGACAGACACACTTGCATCCACGCTGCGAGCCGGTGTCACACGCACTCGCCTCATGCGGCATATACAACAAAAAACACTCTCTGAACCCTCTCTCTTTTTCTCCTTCTGTCCTATCTCTCTGTTAATTATTCTTGACAGACAGACAGACAGACAGAGATAAAAATCTAACCCATACGTACAGACCGAGCGACCCCCCGCCCTTGTCCCCTCCCCCATTGATTCATTGCCTCCTGAGCAGCAGCAGCTCATTGTGCTGGGGGTGCGCCTCGTGCGCCCTGACCACAGGCACCTCTCCCTCTCTCTCCATCCGCCTCATCCAACCGCCATCATCACCACCACCGCCTGCAGCACTGACAGCATCACCACCACCAGCAGCGGCCTCCTCCTGCTCACCCCTCACGGCATACACGGGCATGTCCACCTCTAGACACACACACACACACACACAAGGACAGAGAAGGGGAGAAAGAGAGGCAGAGAATGGCCATATAGTGGGTCATCCATTCATGTCTGTCTGTAGTGTCCACACACATCACATCACATCACATCACATCCCATGACATCAATCATCCCGCCTTTACCGATGACGCTGACAGCTGGGCTCTTTTTCAGCGCGTTGAGGACCTCCTCGCTGGCCTGCCTGGACACGGTGATGATGTCCATGTTGAGCGATTGCAGCTGGTCGAACTTGAGCACGACACTCGCCCCGCCGACGAGAGTCTTGACCTCTGACCTGGCCTTCTCCTTGGCTGCCGGTGAGTCGGTATTCCAGGCCAATATCAGACGCACTGTGTCGGCTGCTGTGGATGTGGGTGTGGGTGTGGCCTGGTGGTTGGCGGCCCCCCTCCCCTCTGATAAGGCGGCTATCTGGCCCTGCACAATCACATCAACACAGAGAGAAAGATATATGCGCGTATGTAGCTGTGAGCTGTGGTGGCTTGTGTGCTTTGGTTTGCTTTGCTTGCCTGTGCTAATGTGAGTGTCCTGCCGAGGATGAGGCAGGAGAAAAGGAAAAAGGGGTGCGGCAGACGGTGGAACAGGAAAGAGCTACGGGCTGCAAGATGACAACAACTGCGGTCTGTCATAGGGAAGATCAGTCATCACCACACACACACCACCATCGCCGCCTTCACCGAAGAGCTCGCCTGGAGAAGAGCCGTTTTACGGCAGCTCACAAGTTGGTTCCTGTGTGTGGCATTGCCTGCTGTGGCATGCAGTCGGCCTGACCAGAGAAGGCCTGATATATCCCACCCCACTCCTGCGGATCGAGACACACCACTCCTCCCAACCTCCACACCCACACAGCAGACAAAGAGGCTCTCGCGCGATGGCAGACGCGCGGAACGGCACAGCGAACGGCGATGACGTCGAGATGGCTCCTTCTGGCGCCGGTGACCGTGGTCGGCGCACCAAGGAGGGCGGCTTGTTCGGCGCTGCTGTCGGAGCGGTGAGACAGCAGCCAAAGGCCACTGGAGGCGTCTCTTCTCAGGTACCACGAGGCCTGCAGGCATAGGCATGCACACCACGCAGACCTGCATGTGCCCATGGTTTGCCATGATGGGATGGGATTGGATGGGTGTCTGTCTGTCTGTCACAGGTGCGTGCGCTGAATGCTGGCGGCAACGTGTTTGACCGGATGGACACCGAGGGCAGTGGCGGCGGCCGCAAGACCAGGGAGGTCTTCATGAGCGGACCGGTGCGCCCTGCGCGTGCTCGCAGGGTCATCGGGCCATACTCCGCCCCGCGAGCCGTCTTCAGCAGCCCTCGTGAGCGAGACCGAGATCGAGACAGAAGTGGCGGCATGGACCTCGATATCGGTGTGGGTGTCGGCGGCAGCAGCAGCGACAAGTGGGACCACGATCTGTACTTCGAGAGTGCTGGTGGCGGCGGGCGGGGTATCGAGGCGACGAGCCACGTGTTTGTGCGGAACCTGCCCAAGGAGACGACCAAGGACATGGTCATTGACGCCTTTGCCAAAGTCGGGGAAGTGGTGTTTGTCAAGGTAGGCCGGAATGCGATGCGATGCGCATGGAAGGAAACACACCACACACACACACATGGCTGCGTGCGTGATGGGATACACATCCCATCTCTCTCTCTCTCTCTCTTGCGCGCGTGCGCGTGTGTGTGTGTGTGTGTGTGGTGTCAGCTTGACAGCGGTCCGATCGTGACGGCGATGGTGGGTTTCCTGCGCAAGGGCGATGCCGAGGAGGCGGCCTCGAGGCTGAACAAGACCACATTCAAGGCCAGGGGCAGACGGGGGGTCATCACCAGCGAAATCAAGGTAGGTACACTGACTACACATGCCCTCACCCATCACCCACACCCATCCATTCCACCGATCATGTGGGTGGGTGGGTGCATCCGTCCGTCCGTCCGTCCGTCCGTCCGTCAGGTTGCGGTGGTTGACCAGAGTGCGCAGCCGGGCAGCCGACACAACAAAGACGATGAAGACCTGGGACCCAGAGGAGGTCCATAACACACACACACACACACACACACACAACACGCACACAGATCAGATGGACGGAGATCGATGCGTAGGGTATCCCTCCGTGTGTCTGTTTCTGTTTCTGTGTGTGTCTGTGTAGGCGATTTGCGTGAGCAGCTGTCCGTTCGCGGCCCCTCATTTCTGCCGAGCGACCGGCCCAGGCAGTCGGTCTTCGCACGCATGAAATAGACAGACAGACACACAGACACACAGACTGCATCCATCCATCCATGTGGCGAACGAGCGATACTACCACTTTGATTTGTATGCACAGGCAGGCAGGCAGGCAGATGGACATGTATGTCCTGTGTGCATGTCTGGATGGGATGCATCCATCGCATCCACCCATCGAATCGAGGGACCAGACCATCTCTATCTGCCTGGAGTGCAGTATCTAACCAGGATGGATGGATGGATGGAGGCAGCGAGGCGGGAGGGTGGATGGATGGATGGGCTGCTTTTGCGTCTGATTGCGACCGACGCGAGTGACATTCAGACATACATGGATGGATGGATGGGGGTGTGTGTGTGTGTGTTGTAATCAATACTCCTCAACCCCAGGTCGTGATCTGGATAGAAAAAAGGTTCACCGCAACACTCACTCGTCTGTGTGTCCGTCACACTCACATGCCCCATCAGCACGCACATCCCAGCCCCGCGAACCCGCCCCTCCCTGTCTATCGCCCCATCAACACGCAGACAGACAGTAGCTAGTTGCACGAGCGAGGGCGATAGACAAACGCGAGAAGTCTTTTCTTCTCTCGTCCGGCTCTCGGGCGCCTCGCGGCTCTCGCCAACTGATCCCCACACAGCGCATCCATCACGCAATGGAAAAAACGAACACTGTGGAGTCCCTGTCTGGGACATCCAGTGTATTTCCTGACATAGCGCTCTCAAATCCCGAAGCGCGTCTAACCAGAAGAAGGCCATGTGCTGTGGCGGCAGCTGCTAGATCTTCCGGACGAATGGTCCTGAGAGTCCATGAGACCCTACTGCCCTGCTCTTCCTCCCCTTGCTCCGAGACCTCAAACTCCGTGTGCACCACCGCGTCCCCATTAGAGCACTCCTGCTTCTCCTGACGCAGGATGCGCTTCGTCACGCCGGGGGCCAGCTGGACTGTGGCATCTGCTGTCTCCTCCGCGCAAATAATTTCCTCATCGGCGAGCCTTGTGAGCAGCAGGCGTCCCCTCTGAGGCTCCACCAGCTGGGCCAAGCCTTCAAAGAGCCCCTTCCTCTCTCCTTCCTCCAGAAGATGGTGAATGCTCCCCGCAGTGAGAATGATGAGGTCGAAGCGTGGGGCGTCAGCGAGGATCTTCCCCAGATCGCTCATGTCGCCATGCATATACGAGAAGCGGCAGGCCGTGTGCGGAGGCTCCTGCTCCCGTGCGCGAGAGAGCATCTCCTGGGAAGCGTCCAGGAGATTGATCTCCAGAGGACGATTCGGAAAGTGCGACGCCAGGCCAAAGGCCACCCTGCCGCTGCCTGCTGCAACGTCTAGGATGCGCGCTCCTCCCTCCGGAAGCAGCGTAGCCGCAAGCTGGACATCTTTCCCCACCTCAAGGCTTTTCGGAAGAGCAGCCACCATCCTGTCGTAGCAACGAGAGAAGAGGGGGTCATCGTAGGCCTCTACGGGATCGGCACAGCTCTGCATCACGAGATAATGCGGCAGGATCTACGGGTGGGATTTAACGTCAAGCCCTAGAGCCACTGGCGCCGCGGTTAACACAGTCAGTGGAGAGGCGTTTGTTGTTCCGCCAGTCACACCCTCGGCATGGTGACCGGCCGACCGGTTGTGTGTGTGTGGGGCAGTCAACTATGTGGACTAGTACCGTTCAACTCTCAGCCAGAGATCCATTTGTGTCTGCTCCATCCATCCATCCATTTTTTCATTCACGCAGACATGGGTCAGTCCGTCCGTTTGCACGTGATGATGCCTTCGTGTGTCGTGTTGGCGCCCCTAACGGAGAGGTGGCCTCCCATGCACGCGACAAGTGCACGAGACACTTGCTCGACAAGAGGGACTTGACAACACACGAATGCATTCAATGCACTCATGTGTCGACACCACAACAATTAAGGCACTGTGACTGCATCCATCGGTACATACATATGGTACATGCAATGGCTTGCAAATCGGCCAAGTGTCCCCACCCACGGAGGAATGGAACACACACCAGACACACACTCGGCCAAGAATAGCTGTTCATCGACCCCACACACCTGTCCGTCCATCCACCTGTCTGTCTGTCTGTCTTCTCTATCTGTCGTGCATCCATCAGATCAGGCAAATCGCTATCAGGCAGACCCATCCCATCCACTCACACAGACCTAAATCACACACACACAGGCTGGCACCCCCCCCTTCCCCCCCACGCGCACCCACCCACCCACCAGCACCGATCGATCGATCGCTGGTAGTACTGCTACGGCCAATTGTGGGCTTTGACAATATCCACGTCCACCACACCGCCCCCCTCCCCGACAGGGTAGCTCTCAAGCAAAAACGGCAGCAAATCCCGTCCCTCCATCCTCACAAACAGGGTGGGGCAGGTGTGACTCATGGTGCCTCCTTTGATGTTGGCGGGCTTTGGGTTGGACAAGCCGTAACGCACCTCGATCCGACGGTGGTCCATGTGGCTGCCGGCACACAGCACGTGCTCCCACGGCCTCGTCGCTGCACGAGGGACCGAAAGAACGCCGTGGGCTTCGTAGAAGCGCACGACGCACATGGTCTCGTCGAAGCCGTCACCGATCACCATGGATGGGTTGAAGGCAGCCAGGGAGTCGGCGGACAGCTTGACGAAGAGGGAGCTTGCCGAGCCCCGCCACGAGAAGCCGCCCGATGGATTCTCCTGGTAATGGCCGATGGAGCGGCCTACCTCATCCTTGTACTGCTTGCCAAATCCTCCCTTGCCGCCCACCTCATTGCTCGTCTGTTGCTCGAGATGCAGCCGGGCGCACATGAGCTGCTCGCGGGACGTCTCGAACATGATGTGGACACCCTTCATCCGTCCGCGTCGCTTGTTCTCCTGCTTGGCAGCCTGGGCGTCGAGCACAACGGGGGGGATGGCTTCCTCATCGACGCCCCGCTCGAACGTGCTGAGCAGGCTGGTGGCCTTTTCTGCCACCTTGTCGATCGGGCCCTCCATGCTCACCTGCACACACACACACACACACACACAGGCATGTCCATCCATCCATCCATCCACCGTCTCACCCACCGTTATCTCTGGGCGTCTCGTTGACTCGGACAGGGTGGTGATAAGGGTCGCTGCAGTGGGAGTGTGGTCACCAGTCTTCCTGATGTAGCCGAAGTCACTCGAGCGCCGCTCGATGTTGCTGAGAACCCCCCGGAGCCTCACCAAGTCGAACGGCGGCGAGCGGCTGCTCGGGTCACTGTTGGCCTCGGCCAAGACGCGGAGGGTCACCTTGGCGGTTGCGGTAGTGGTGGGGGCGCCTTGGGTGGGCCCAGTGTGACTGGGTGGGTGGTCGGGGACCTCGGGGATCTCGCCCTCCTCCTCCCTCTTGCTGCTGGGCTGAGGGCCGGGCTGACCTGCCGATTGCTGCTGCCATGTGTCCTGCTTTTCGGCCACCATCGACTCCTCCTCGCCCTTGTGCTCCAATCCAGCAGCGGCAGCGGCCGATGCCGCCGCACCGCTCTCCTGCTGCTGCTGGTGGTGGTGGTGATGATGCTGGTGCTGGTGCTGGTGCTGCATGTGCGCGTCAGTCATCTCATCATGCGGCTGCCCCTTGGCCCCGTCCGCCCACAGCTTGTCGAAATCATCATCATCCTCTTCTCCATCACCGTCCATCATGTGGGGACCGTTGTGCGACATGGGTGGCTGGTAGGGCTGGTGGGGCGGCATCGGCATCAAGGGTGGTGGAGGTGGCGGCTGATAGCCGTATTGGTCAGCCGTGCTGTGCGCATATGGCGGGGGAGGGTACGGGGGCGGGGGCGGCTGCAGCTGGCCATAGGAGTGGTGAAGCCCCAGAGGAGGAGGCGGAGGGGGCGGGATGGACCAGCCGTTGCTGTTGATGGGCGGAAGAGGCGGCGCATCGGCCGCCTCATTGGCGGGAATGTCGGCCCCCCGTCCCTGTCCCTCTCCCTCCCCTCTGCCGTCCCCTGCAGCGGCCTTCTTCTTGGCTTTCTTGGTCTTCTTGATCGACACGCCACTCGCAAAGTTCTTCTTGCGCTTGGTGCCGTTGTTGCGGTTGCTGTTGGCCGGGGATGGCTCCGAGCCGTCCGCTGCTGCTGCTGCTGGTGATGCTGCTCCTGCTGGCAGGGGTGTGGGTTGCACATGAGGGGGAAGACCGTCGCCGACCACTGAGCGGATGAGACAGACGGCCATTATAATGCGTATGAGTGGGTTTGGCTTGCTGTGTGTGGTGCTGTATGTGCTCACGTGGCTGTGGTGGTGGGATGGGGATGGGTGGTGGGATCGGCACGAAGGGCCGCTGTGCTTGCGGCTGTGGGTGGTGCGTCGGCTCATATTCGTGCTCATCCGTGGGCTCCTGCCTGATCGGCACAGGCGTGAAGGCCGCCTGCACACACACACACACGCAACACAATTAACGCGATCACTGGATGCAACGCGTTGTCACGGACATGCGTGCGGGTGTATGTATGTCCCCCCTGTCTCTCTCTCTGATTGTCTCATACCGATGCCGCTTGCTCCACTCCTGGTTCTATCTTGACGGCCACCAAAGGCACCACGCCGTTCGCAGGAGCACCACCCTCTGCCTGCTCCCTCTGTGCTCTCTGAGCACCATACACACCCACATCCACACACACAACTTATGCGTGTGTGAAAGAGTGTGTCTGTTTTGCCCTTACCTCCAGCCGCCGTCTCTCTTTGCGCTTCCGGCGCCGCTCTTCGGCTTCCGCCGTGTCGTCATGGCGCGCGGCCACCTCGGCAGCACCTGAAAACAGACCGATGATCGATGTCCATCCATCAGATCAGTGTACGTACACAGAGGCCAGTATGAGAGACGTGCGGTGCGCACCGCACCAGGGGCGGGTGTATCAGCATGACCACCGGCAGCGGTAGCAGCAGCAGCACGAGCACGAGCCACCATCTCCCGGTCACGTGGCATACGGGGCAGCAGATTCACACCCAGCCCATGCATAATGGCCGCCTTGTGCCGATGGAACCAGCGGTCGAAAACGAGGCGAAAGTGCCGCTCGAACGTCTTCTCGTCCGATCTTTTGCGCATCCAATCGGTGAGGGTCTTGGTCTCGTTGTGGGCAAAGGTGACTCTGATGACGTGTGGATGGACCAGGTCCTTGCCTGTCAGCTGGCCGGGGATGGGCTGCGGCTCAATGTGCCAGATGTCCTTGTCGGTGAAGCGCATCACTGCGTAGGCGCCAAGCGCGTTGCTCGAGGAGGAGGCTGCATCCATCCACACCACACACATCCATCCATCCATCTGTGGGTTCTCTCTCTGTGTGGCCACTCACCCTTTCCTCTGCAGAATTCTTCGAATGTCTGGCGAATGTCGGGCTCGTGCTTATCCCGCCACTCGTCCATGGTGATGGGTCTGATCCGCACGTGGCGACGAAGAGCAGCAGGGGGGGCGGCAGGGGAGGGGGAGGTTGGGGCACCTTAACGAACACAGAGAGTGTCTGTGTGTGTGTGTGTGGATGGTGGATGGTGTGCTTGCCTAGGTCGGCAGGCGGGATGTTGTCTGGGGGAGGGGGCGTGTTGTCGGCAACCGGGTCGCCGTGCACACCAGCCTGCATGCCATGAACCCATCAGACAACACACATGAGGATATGCATGATGATGCCAGATGAACCTCTTCTCGGCTAAAAACCTGACCTGTGGTGATGCCTCCTCGTCCATGTCGTTGCCAGTCTCACCACCGCCCTCCTCGCCGTGGTCTCGGTCATCTTTATCTCCCTCTCCCTCTTCCTCGATGCCGGCCTCTTGCTCCTGCTTGATGTGCGCCGCTGGCAAGTCCACCTGGTCCTGTTGTGTGGTGACGTCGATGAGCTCGGCCACGCCCTTTTTGCTATGCGAGTACACCATCTCGGCCCCATCGAGCTGCCACACCTGCGTCTCGCCATTCTCAAATCGAACCACCACCTGAACAACACACCACACGACACACATGGGGGCGCGTGTCCGTCAGCCGTCAAAACGTCAGCCCACGTACCTTTCGAAAGACCCCCAGCTGGCAGAAATCGGGGGGCTTTCCTGTGCCAGGCCCCGCCTTCAGGCACCACCTCGCCCATCGCCACGCGTGATAGGCAAAGTCGTCCTCACTAAGCAGACACCTCAGCATCTCCCGGGCCACACGCCAGCCAGTCTGTTTGAAGGCTTTGTGCATGTGCTGCTGGTAGAAGGCCTTGGCAATGCTGTGGCACTCTTCCAGGGGGGGAATGGGCGTGGTGGTGGTGCTGATGACGCGGCCGTCTGCGTCTGTCTCGGTCTCTGTCTTGACAGTGGGCAGGTGCTCGTTCTCGGAGGGGTGGGTGATGATGTCGTCGCGAATGGTGGCCACCATGCGCACGGTGGAGTGGTCGTCGGGGTGCTCCTGAGAGAGGGATGCATGGATCTCTCTCTCTCTCTCCGTGTGTGTGTGTGTGTGTCTAGGGTACCATGGGTGTGTCGGCCTCTTGCTTGGGGGAAACGATGGGCACGTCCATCGGTGAGTCGGGCGCGGCGCCATCAGCAGCACCAGCAGCACCACTACCAGCGGCAGCACTAGCCTGACAGAAGGGCTCACACAGAGGGAGAGGGATGGATGGGCCATGTTGTCTGTCTGTCCGTGTGTCTGTCTGTCTGTCCGTGTGTGTGTGATACCCACCGCATTCAACCGTGGCGATTGGCCAATTCTGTCGTCAGCAGCCCCACCATCGCCATCACCATCGCCGACGTCGGCTACGAGGGCACCATCCTGCCGCCCCGCCAACAGATACACACCAGCGATGCGATTGGTATCGTTGACGCTTCCACATGACTGACATGTGCGTCATCCATCCCCCCTCCCACACACGGACTGTACCCACCTGTTGGTCGGTGTCCTCATCCAAGTTGTCTTCCGCCTCGGGCGACGCATCCGCATCCGCGTCAGCCTGAAATGAGAACAGCAGCATGTGCACCGCGTGTGGCCAGACATTTATGTGCCTGTCGTCGCTCATTCTCTCACTCACTCACTCACTCACTCACTGACCATGGCCACATCGTCTTCCTCTCCGTCCATGATGCGATCCTCGTCAAACTCACCCTCATCCAACTGTTCACACACACACACACGCACACAGACATCCACCCAACCCAATAAATAATCCTTACGTGTCGATGCTCCTCTCTCCCCCACCCCCACCTCACTCACCTGTTCACCCTCGTCAGCCCCCTGTCCCTCTATAGGCTCCTGCTTGACAAGTCCCGCCATCAGGCCATCGCCATTGGCAGGCTGCCAGCCCCCAGGCCTGACCACTTTCACCAGCATGCATTCACACTCGACGACCCATTCGTTGATGATCTCTCCACACCCTCCTGGGGCTGGCGCCCAGTCCACCACACCTTCCTCGTCGCCGAGCAAGTCCAAGCAATGCAGCGCGTCCCTCCGGGTGAGATGATCCCTGAACGAACCGCATCCCATCGCATCCACCGGACATATCGTATGTGTGTGTTGCTTACCAAAGGCGTTGTAGCAGCTTAAGGGCACAACGTGGGAACAGATCCTTGCAAAACAGATACTCGTTCTGCGACATTCACACACACACACACACACATGGTCAGTCAGGATAGAAGCCGGTGATGCGATGTGATGCTTACCTTGATCGCGTGGAAGCCTCCCGTGTCGATGAAGGCCTTCCCTGAATGAGCAGCGCACACACAAAACACACACACAAAACAAAGAGGGAGAGAGACCGCCAACCCACTCATATGTATCATCAGCCCAACCTTCTGGCTCACTCACTCACTCACTCCATGTTTCATCTTGGTTGCTCCATCTGGGATCTACCAGCTCCGCTTCCAGCCTCTCAAGCTCCACTTTCTCCTCCACGCTAAGTGGTTTTCCCCTCTCCATCTGCTTCAGCAGATTCAGCTTCTCTTCTGACAGCTTCTTAAGCCGAATGGTGGTCTTGTCGAGGGTGGCCCGCCGCACGTTGGCTTGTCGCGCGATGCGATGGGACCGCCGGAGGCTCCCTGGGACGTACTCGCCATTGAGGAGTCTGTCAGCCTCATGAACGATGTTGGGAGTTGGCTGTGGTGCATTCTGGCCTCGTCTGCGGCCCCTCCCGCCGCCTGGACCACTCATAGGGCTACTGCTATTGCCTGTCCCTTGCCGTGCTGCGATCGCTGGCCGGGTTTTGGCGCGCATGGCGAGGAAAGCGCGTGTGGCTGAGATGAAGAGATGCTCTTCGTCGAGAAGAGGTGCACGTTTTGTTACAAGCTGTGGAATTAAGGCCCTTGGTTGACTCAGGCAAGGAACAGACGGCCGCAGATAGACGAGAGAGAAAGATGACGGGGAGAAGACAGGCAGCTTCGCTTCGCAGCCTGCACGCAGGAGGGCCGTCCACGGCCTCACTCAACCCGTTGCAGCGGATGAGGCAGCCAGGTACTCGAGAACACGCAAACAAGAAGGTTGGGGTTGGCATCCGTTGTGTTCTCTCTCTCCCTTCTCTCCCCTCTCTCCCTTCAGTCATCATCCCGTTCGATGAGCTGCAGATGGCCATCAAAGCAAAGGCAGCCGCCACGCGCACGCCAGCAGGGGCCGTCCCCTCACACACGCACGTTCCCCCGGTCAAGCTGGCGCCCATTGACCGAGACAACATCGTTGATGTGGAGAAGGGAAGGAAGCGGCGAAGGCGCCGCGGCAGTGAGGCGATGGGTGCGCATGAGGTGTGGCGTCGGGAGAGGGATCTGTCGCGTTTCTATGTGGAGCGGCAGCTGCTGGTGGAGGGGTACAGGAGCATGATGGTTGAGATCAGGGAGAGCATGAGACGCCTCAAGGCTGCTAGGGGAGGTAGGTAGGGAGGCATCATACCGACGTGGCGGCGTCTCCCGCACCGCGCACCATCGATGCGATACGTTCGCGTGTCGTGTATGTTATGTGTGCCCGACTCGACCAGGTCTTGATTCCCTTCCCCAGGCAGCCCAGTCGCAGATGAAGCTGCTGTTTGGGAGGAGAGGGGCAGCACAGTTTGCTCGAGGCATCACCAGTGCCTTCCTCTTCTCTCCAAACGCATCAGCCCACCATCCGCCATCCAGCCTCCTCCACGACGATTACGACAAGGTTCAGATGCCATCGCCTGGCGCCCAGACGACAGCCACAAGCAGCCCCCGCAACACCTACTCCATCTGCCATTTCCGACAACAGCAGCAGCAGCAGCAACAGCACCGGCATTCGTCGGTGCAGCGGAGAGAAGAGAGAGCGAGAGACACCACACGAGGAGAGACACAGACAAAGGGCGACGAAGAGCATCCCGTTGCACCTCCCTTCTGGCGGTACTCCAACCCCAATGCGGCCTTTGAGAAGAAGAAAGAAGCAGAGAGGCTGCAGATGGCCGCCAGCCGAAAGAGGCCGATGAAGATCACAAGCGGCGGGAGACCATCGCGGCTGCGGCTCTCCCACCCCCTGTGTGACCATCACGTCTTTGCTACTCCTGCTGTTTCCGCCCCTCGGCCGTCTGCTCGCGAGCTGCGCGCTCAGATGACGATCAACCAGTGGCCAGAAATCGAGACGCACCTGCCGCCCGACCAGTCGGCGATGCACAGAGAGGAGTCTGTCGAGCAGAGCGGCTCAGAGATAGAGACAACCACAAGCGGCGATGAGGCAGCGTCTTCTTACAGAGACAACCATGAAGATGCAGACGACCGACGGCCAGACGTCGATGAAAGAGAGAGACAACAGCCGCCTGCAGACCTCCTCAGGCACACATTGCGGCCACGGGACAGAGAAAGGCAGCAGCGTGCAGCAGGGCCGAGCAGCCGTCGTGCGTCGTTGTCTCAGCAGGTGGATAGCGGCTTAAGACGGTCCATCAGGAGCAGAGGGGGTGACGAGGTGGTCAACGAGGAAATGCTGCAGCAAATATGGTTGGTGCCTTCTGCGCCATGCATGGGCGCACTACTCATCCGCAGCCTTCCTTGCAATTGTGTCTTCCTTAACAAGTGTGTGATCGGTATGATTCGTGAGTGCAGGGATGTGTGTTCGGCCCGTTCCGCCTTCCAGCAGACCCGCAAGGAGATCCCGCCCTTCCCACCCATACCCACAGTACACACACACACATATGTGATGTGAGCAAAGAGGCCATCCGCACATCCACTTCTGTGTCGTGCAGCTGAGCGGCAAGACCGAGAAGCTCCTCAAGTCGCTCGATGTAAGTAAGATACAGCCCCACTGCCCCCTGTCATCTCCCATACGTGTCTCTCTGTGTGTGTGTGTGTGTGTGTGTGTGTGAAGACCAAGCGACGCCGGAAGATCGCACTCAAGCGGCACAAAGAGGCCGAGGTCAGTATGCGAACGACTTAGACGCACTTACATACATACACCAACAACTGTATGTATCCCTTCTGCGTCCATGGCATGGATGCGATGCGACCAGGCCGCGCGTGAAGTGTCCCCATCGTTGGCCGTCCAGCTCAACAATGCCTTTGGCGACACTTCCACCAAACAAACGTAACGTAACGTACCCACCAAAGATCGACAGACACACCAAAGCCACAAAGTAAAGTGCCTCATGTCTCCCGCACTGTGTGTGCCACACATGCCATGCATCTCCGCAACGAACGCACTTACTGTAGACGGTCAATGCTGTCCTCTGAGGCAAAGGAGCGGTCGCCTCGCGAGCGGCGCAACGCCATGGCCGCCGACCAGCTCAAAGAGCAGTTGGATAAAGCCGCACGAAAAGACATAGGCAAAGGTAGGGAACCCAACCAACCCTTTCTCCCCGCCCCTCCCCTCCCCTCCCCTCCCCTCCCTCTCTTGTCCCCATCCGATGAATGGATGTATGCGTGTGATGTCAGTGGCTCCGCGCGCCTCTCCTGCACCGAGTGACGCTGCGCGCCGGATTGATGCCAGTGGTGTGCCACCGAATGTGCCACCCGTGGCACTGCACACACCGTCGCCATCGCCTCTAGAGAGTGTCAAGAAAGTCCGTCGGCATGGGCAGCTGGTCATGTACCGGCGGGCAGTGCTCTTCAAGCGATGCAAGGGCCGCCTGTCGCGGCAGCTGCGGCTGGCCATCGAGCAGAAGAGGAAAGAGAGACCCCAGCTACTCAGGTAGGGAGGGCAGGCAGCATAGCATGGCAGACAGACAACGAAAACAAATCCGAACGTCGTTATATGTTCATCCACACGAAGGCGCCGCACAGAGGCTTTGTTGCCGCGCCATCTGACCACATTTGAGGAAGACATGGTCGGCCAGTGAGTCACACAGGCAAAATCGGCGGGCGACGGCCATCCCATCGAGCATCCCTCCCTCCCTCCCTCCCTCCTGTCTCCCTTTCACCTTACTACTTACTGTGGCTGGCTGCACTGCAGGCTGTGTTGCGGGGGACAGAGGTGCGTCAGCGACAAAGGGCGCTCTTCCTCCTCAAGCGGCAAAAACGAAGGTAAGTCGGGTCAGGTCGGTAGGCCCGCCTGCCAGGCCTTTCGGTACCCAATGCAAAGGGGACTGTGTCTATGTGATGTGTGTTGATTCGTGGTCCGTGTGCACCTACGGCGTGTAGGTTTGACAAGGTGCTGCACAAGCTTGCTGACACAGAAAGGAACCCAACCAGAGGTAGGCAGGTACACCATCGCACTCACACACAGACAGACACATCTCCTTCCCTCCCTCCATGGTTGACTGTGTGTGTAGGGGAGTTGTTTCTGAGCCAGGCGTGTCGTTACGAGCTGGCCGCGGGGCTGCACGTCGACATCCTCTTCATGGGCAGAGTAAGTGAGTGAAGTGAGCACACACCTAACCTACCTTCGCACCAAACATGTCTGGTAGACAGACAGACAGACCACTGACTGAGTCTCGTACTGAGTCTCGTGTGTGTGTTCAGTGTCTTCGTTTCCTTGAGTTGGGCGACTGTGCTGACCCCCATGTGCACAGATTTCTCGGCGCTCTCTGCTGGGCATTCGACGTACCTAACCCATCCCACCCACCTCGCACCACAACACAACACACTCATATCCCTCCCTGTCTCCTCCCTCTTCCCCTACTTATGCAGATCAACCGTGAGGCCTTGGTTGTGCTGCTGCACGCCCATCTGATGTCCACCAGACAGCAACAACCCTCAACAGACCTCGGCGGCACACACGAAGACGGCGCGCAGTCGTCAGCCTCCTCGCGACGCTCGGCCGTGCACCAGCCCAGCCCTTTCCATCCCCAACACACGCACCGCAGGCGAGAAGGGCAGCAGGCAGCCGATGAAACGCTTTTCGTGCTGCCGTCGCAGCTGAGGTATGAGCCGGAGCCGTCCACACCAAGCAGCAGCAAGGCATCGGAGAAAGAGGTGAGTGAGTCGGGATGGGATGGGTGTGTGGTATGGGTTTAGGGATAGGCGGGGCGGTGTGTGTGCATGTGTTGTCCTGAGCAGAGGTGGCCGAGGGAGTTTGAGGTGCGTCGGGTGCTGGATTCGTGTCAGCAGCTGGACATGCCGCTCGTCAGGTACGAAGAAGCGACCAAAGAGCGCAGAGAGAAATCCGCCGAAGCATCCTCATCGGTACCCATCACCGGATCAGCATCCATCCATCCATCCATCTCTTTCCCTCTCTCCGTGTCTCTCTGTCTCTCTGCAGACATCTCATTGGGAATATGACGCTGCCGTCCGGAGTTCTCCCTCTTTCAGCTCGCCCCCCCTGAGTGGTCCCGTCTCCCGGCCCTCCACCAAGCCCCACCACCTGCATCCTCCCACCTCACCCAGAAGGCAACACACCATGGTGCCGGCAGCAGCGACAGCCGCCAGGCGCATGAGCATGACCGCTTTCCGCACGCTGCCACCATCAGCAGCCCCACCACCACTGCCACTGGCACATCATAATATCAATGGATCATCGCCACGGCAAAGGACGTCCATCATGTCGCCGAGGAGGGGCAAGACGGGGTCACTTCTGGTCACTGGCCAGCCCATGCAGCGGGTCGATTAATCGTGTTGCACGATTTTCTCTCTGTGTGGAATGGAGTGGATGCATTGAGGATCTCTCGTGCTCATGAAGTGGATGTGTAATGTCGGTTTGTTTCTCTTTCTGTTTTTCCCTCATTCCACAGTTTGATGTCTCTCCCTCGAATCAATCAACGTACGGATGACTGACTGATCGGTCTCGGCCATGGCAAAAGAAAAGGAACCGCCTTCTTTGCACGACCTCTCTCGTCGTGCAATGGCCTCCTCTTCTCGTCAACAAACTGGCTTTGAGTCGGGTGCGCTTGTCTCTCGGTCAGGATGCCATTGGTTCTTCACCGCACTGCGGGTCGGCGGCTCGAAGGCAGGTAGCTGGGGGCGGACGCGGGTGGTAGTGGGCGTGCCTCTGCCACAACTGAATGAACTTTTTGGCTCCAGGACAACGAACGTCGGGGGGCTGGTCTGCACCGATGAGACACAAACACAAACAGACAGACGGACGGCTGGCGTGTTTTCGTGTGTGCTCACTGTTCAGCAGGCGGTTGTGGAGTTCGAAGATGAGGTGTTTGAAAAGGGGGCCGGTCTGCGCACCGCACGTGGGCAGACAAAAGAAGTCAAGCCATCACACCATGGATGCGTGCGCCATGCGTCCGCCCCCTATGTTTACCTCAATGTTGAAGAGGTCATCCACTTGTCCGACGAAATCTGGCACCCAAATGAAGTTCTCTTGATGACACAGGCCGGATTGCTTGCTGCACAGCACGGCGGATCGGGAATCGAGATCCACGCGCCATACACATGAATGTCTGTCTGTGTCTCTGTCTGTGTACTGTACTTGTTGTCGACCAAGACAGCATGCGAGATGTCTCCCCCTGTGGCAACGACGAGGTCCTTGGTCTTGCTTGGCATGGTCGCCACTGTGTCACGGTAGTAACTGTCAACACACGCACACACCGGAATGCCTTCGCCGCTGATGGGCGGGTTTGGTCACCGGTGCTCGAAGTGCTTTTCACCAGACTGTGTGACCACCAGCCATCCACTCTAGTGCGTCAAGGATGTAGTCCGCATACTGAGACACGAGACAGGGAGAGTCTGACATGCATGTGTCATGATCGATGCAGATTGAAGGCTCCGCTCACATCCATCGTTCCTGCAAAGGTGAGAAACACGGCCACAAGGAGACGGATCAGATCCACACAAATGAAAAGTACCTGCCGTCCAGATCATCATTCGGACGCCCATGTGCTTGAGACGCATCAAGAAGGGTATCACATCCTTGCGCACGCCGACCTGCAACAATGAGGTGTTCCTGTCTGCGTGTTATGATAACTGTTGTCTGACCTACCCGGGCCGCGGGGCCGGTGATATCCTCCTCGTCTACGAGACTGCGACTACTATATATGTGGTCAAAAGTGTGCAGGCGTTCGTCAACGATGCCCTCCCTCTTCCTCTCTACCCACACACACAAGGCATGACACACACACGCACACATGCATCACCACCTGCCGAATGGGTGCGGTTACCTACCGAGGTAGACCAAAGTCTCGTCCATGTCAAAGTATACAACCAGACCGCTTTGGGTCGTTGCATTGGCCGCCAGGTCCTCCGATTCCACATCCACGCCGATCTCCTCGGCAGCACGGGCATCATGACGTGAGGGAACGCGATGCACTGCCGGCCGAGCACTTGTCGACAAGCAGAGGGAGAAAAGGACGACCGAATGGATAATTAGGGGCTGCATTTTGGCCCGTTTCAGGTCGTGTTGAGACGCCGCGTCTCACTCCAAGTCGGGGGCCCCTGCATGCGAATGCATGCGGCCCCCAACCATTTGGGAGAAAGTGTGGCCCTCCAGCCATGCGTATTCTTCTGGCGATTGCCTGTGTGTCTGCCCAGCTATCCCTGTTGTCCAGCGGTCGGCCAAGGTGGCACCTGAAGCATCATCATGACATAAACAGCGAGGCGACAGAGGCCGACCTGGACACACAGACGGCGGCGGCCACCGCATCCAACCATCATGGTACGCACGCACTGCCAGCAGGCAGGCTAGGCGTTGTACGTGGCTGGCCGGCATTGTCTGTTGTGCCTGTGTGCAGGGGGGCTGACCATCGTCTGGGACAGTAGGCGAGACACAGCACAGACACCACAGACAGACAGACAGACAAACAGACAAACAAACACTGCCAGGCTGCAGGAACACGCACGCACACACGCACACACGCACACACACACAGAGAGAGAGAGAGAGATAGCGAGAGAGAGGTGTGCCTGTCTGTGTGTCAACACAGTGGACGAGACCATGATTCACGGCATGAAGAGCGGGCCCATCGACAGAGGGGTCACCTACTTCCAACACCCATGGACTCCAGACACAACACACAGAACGGTCACCCCTTTCAGAATCCATCATGTGCACCAAGAGTTGCATCCCTCTCTCTCTCTGTGCGTGTATGTGTGTGTGTGTGTGCAGGTGCTCGTCCGCCCGCATATCATATCGTTTTTGAAACAGCTGAAGGGCATTGGGGTGCGGATGCTGGTGTGGTCGGCAGGCGTGGCCGACTGGGTAGACCCGATCATTGACCGGCTCGAGACGGACGCAGGCTTCACCCCTAGAGAGCTCTTCTTCGCCCGGTCTGCATACGCATCTGCTTGTTTCGTCATAAAGACATGTCTTCTTTTCCCTCCCTCCCTCTCTGTGTGTGTGTGTGTGTGTCGGCACGCAGTTTTTACTACAGCGACATGCGAGAGACCGCCGCAGGCTTGAAGGACCTCGGCTGGAGTGGGCTGCCCACCAAGGGAGACGTCTCACACACTGTCCTCATCGATGACATGTACGCGCCTGCCTTACACACACACAGAGCGAGAGACGTGTGCGTGTGTGTGCGGTGCAGGGTGCAACAAGGGCTCTGCCAGCCACAGAACTTCCTGCCCGTGCCGCCATTCATTGGCCGCTACGACACCAACGACCCATTCGAGTCGGTACGTGCGCAGCAAACATTGCCAATATAAATGAAGCCCCACCCCACTCCACAAGTGTATGTCTCGCTCTCTCCCTCCCTCCCACAGGACGGGCAGCTCATGCAAACCCTCCGATACCTCCACAGCCAGCTGATAGCCGGCCGTCTCACTGATGTGCGGTGCGCAGAGGGCGAGTTCACCGTCGGCAAGTGGCAGCAGCAGCCCGGAATTGCCGAGATACTGGCCAAGCACTATTGGGCGCAGGTCTCTGCCATGTCGGTGGAAGAGAGGAAGAAGGAGCAGTGCATCGGTCCGGAAGAGCCCAAGTGTGCCGCCGGGTTTTCCAGCTTCCAGGCGAGTGGGGTTGCCGTCGAAGCCGATTGAATGATGGATGCCTCCTCCGTCACGATATCCTGATGACCATGACTTGGGTCGATCCGTCACATAGAGACACAGAGACAATGTCCACAAGGCCTGGCCATTAGTGTAATTAAGCGGTCATGAAGAGTAGTGTCTTGAGGCCTAGTGTGATTGTCCTGCCGACTGCCGTGACCACAGCTGCCATCAGTGCCACTTGCCCCAGCCTGTCTAGCCTCTTCCGCCGTCGAATGCCCGTAAAAGTCAGATCTACGCCGCACACACACACACACACACACACAGAGAGAGAGAGAGAGAGAGAGAGGGGCATGTGAGATGTGTGATGGTGTGATGCCAACAGGCAGGGCAGACTGACCGTCGTTTTGCATGAGTGCGATGGGGTTGGTGGCGAAGAGCCGGGGCATCAGGTTGTGGAAGATGCCGTCGAGGATCAGAGGCAGGACGAACAGCAGGAAACCTGATGGGCTCCTCGGGTCCTTGTCGAACGACCTGCACACACACACGCGGGACGATACACACGTGACTGTTTGTGTGTGTCCCTCTGCCTCTCTCTCTCTCTCTCTCTGTGTCTGTGTGTGTGTGTGTGTGTGAGACCTGGAAAGCTCCACAAGTGCCTTGGCCTGCGGCGCCCTTCGCTTAGTGTACAGAGGGAGGGCCCTACGCAGATCATCGCCACTGCACCAACCAGCCACTCACCCCCACACGCACACATGAGAGCGACCCTTCCCTCCCTCCCTCCCTCCCCTGTCTGTCTGTCTGTGTGTGTGTGTGTGGTGCCCACCGACCACTCCTGCAGACATCGCTGCAGCACCTCGACATCCTCAAAGGCACTGTTTACACCCTGTGGGTCACACACATGCATGGCACGTCAAAGGTGTCGGTGCGCGTCAACACACACACCTGGCCGAAATAAGGCTTGACGCAGTGGATGGCGTCACCTAGCAAGACCACTGGAGCAGGGTCGGTTCTGTGCAGAGGGCCGGCTGCGTAGGAAAAGCTGGGGAGAGAGCCTGCATGCCATGCAGCCACACACACACACGGATGGATGGATGGATAGATGGTGCGCCTTCTCTCTCTCTCTGTGTGTGTGTGTGTGTGTCTGTGTGTCAGTGTGTGTGGAGGTGGAGGTGGGTGTACACGCCTTCAGTGTGTGCGTCAAACCTACACGTCTTCCGCTTCGCGAAGAGGGCGTATTGCTCTTCCTCTATGTAAGGCACCACGGCGGCGAACCTCTCACGGACATACCGCCGCACCGATTCAGCTGCACACACACACACACAGACACACACACACACAGAGAGAGAGAGAGAGAGAGAGGGCCAGAGAGATGCGTGGCGCACACACGTGTGCTGTATGAGTACCGGTGTTTAGGGAGGCCACTTGTGTGTCCTCCGGCCTGAAGAGGACGACGCCGATCATATTGCCCTCGGGAGTGGGGAGGGCGTCCAGCGCCACACCATCCTAATCGACACAACACTTTGGTGTAACCCCCCTCCCCCCCCCTCTCTCTCTCTCTCTGTCTGTGTGTGTGTGTGTGTGGAATGGCACCCACCGGTCGTCCAGCGATGTAGTCGAGGTCCATTCTCATGTCCTTGGGCAGCTTGAGCGGCATGATCTTGTACACACGCGTGTTGCTCTCGGGGAACCTGACGGCACTGAACCCCAGACCGTCACGCACAAACGACCGGGCCCCGTCCGCACCCACCACTGTCACGCCATACGCACACACAGAGAGACACAGAGAGCCAGAGAGAGATGGGAGGGAAAGGTGCACTGCAGTGGGGTGTGTGGGGGGGGGGGGGGGGGAGGAGGGAGGGAGGGAGGGAGGGAGGAGGCTGTTGTGTACCGAAATGTGTGTGGATGTGTGTGGCGGTGCTGTTGTTGACCTGGACGAGCAGACGGCCGTCATTGGCTGCCTCGAGGTTCGTGCAGGTGGTGTTGAAGGCCACCCTTGTTGAACACACACACAGAGAGAGAGAGAGAGAGAGATCCATGTGTGTCTGTCAGGTCAGTGTGTGTGGGTCTCACTCATTCACTCACTGTATCTGCTGTGGGTACTTGTCGGTGATCTCCTCATAGAGCAGCGAAGCCAACCGGTCCCTCTGCCCATCCACACACCACACACCACACACCACACACACACTCACGCGTGTGCCCATTCACACCCACAACCACACCCACCCGCACCTGAATGATTCTCGAAGTGGCCGTCCGGTCGGTGAATATCCTCAGCGCCGTCTTGTTGCCCTCCGACCAGGTGAAGCGACCACGCACAGGCACCGAGTACCGATACAGCCGCTGTGTGCACACACACCCAACACACACACACATACTGAGCGAGTGCCCAGGGCATTTCGCTCGCGGGCTCACTCACGTCGATGCACTGTATGTCTTTGAGCAGCCGCTGCCCCCGGCCGTTGATGCCCATGTTGTAGGACCGGTCGGGGTCGCCCCAGCTGTCCGAGTTGGGCGGTGGGAGCGGGGGCCGCCTCTCGAGCACCGTGATGTTGGCCCACCCCCTCCTCGCAAGCATGATGGCCGTCGCGTAGCCCGCCGGACCACCACCTAACCACACACAGAGAAAGAGGCAAACACATACATCGGTTTGTGTTTCGGTGTGCTGATCTTCTCACCCACTATGACAGTTGACGGTGGCTGGCCAGGCGCGCCGCTCAGCTCTTCTCCCTCATTCGCATGCGCCCGCACTTGTGCAGCCCGCAATTGAAGCCGGTGCAGCAGCGATGAATCACATGCCCTCCTCCTGTTCGCACCCACGTTGCTGCCGAAGAGCATGCCATTGCCAGCTGATGGACTTGACGCAACGAAAGCAGCTGCAGCTGCCGACAGCAGCAGCAGGATGATCACAGCAACAAGGGTGAAGGTCATCGTTGAGGGAAGATAGCCGAAGAGAGCAGATGCCATCACGCCCAGCTTCATTGACAGATCCCAATCATACTGCACCTTTAAGCTCGCAAAAGCGGATCGGGGAAAGGAGAAGGAAAGGTGAGAGCCGAGCGCTGAGAGATCTGCATTGCTGCAGCGACAGCCAAACCTCAAACCTCTCTCGCTAAATCTCTCATCATTGCCATGTTCCCAGCGGTGCAGGTGCCCCAGTGAGAGAGATCAAGAGAGATCATCGTTCGATGGGTGCGTACCAAGAGCTTTCGGCCCCGACCGCCCCGCCGGCTGACACCCATGCGGAGCTGCAGACTCTCAAGACCAGGGTAGCGGAGATTGATTACGCCATCATGCCGTGCGCTTGTGGGGCCGTCTGCCTCGTGGTCTTCTTGTGGGCCATCCTGTTTGGATGCTTCATCGGAACCTCACGCGAAGCGTTTTTGCTCGGGAAGGAGATCGACACCATCAAGACCCATGATGTGGCGGACAAAGCCGAGCTGAAGCGACTGAAGGGCGTGGTGCGGCTGATAGCTGAGCTGGACGAGGGCGCCTGGGATCACATGAGGGAGGAGATTCTCAGCGACAACAGCACGACGGTTAAGGAGAAGGTGGCAAGAGTGGAACGGGCCGATGCCGAAGTGAAGCAGCTGAGGAAGCGACTTGTGGCTTGAGGGGGCGGGCAGACAGATTTGTGGATGGATTGAAGGGTTGCTGCGTGCAGGGATGGGATGGTGCATGACGAGTCAGACGCAGCTGTGTGTGCCAGATAAGATAGGTCAGTTTGGTTTGCTAGCATGTGGTGGCGCAGGAGAGGAGTGGGAAGGGATGTGTATCCACCATTGTACCATAGCCTGCCTGATGTCGTCAGACCCACCATGTGATGATGTGCGTGGACTGACCGGGTGCTTGCAATGCACGCTAACATTGTTCACACAGATGAGGAGGCGCCTTCTGCTTAGATAGATATGGTCGTCTGCCCATCAGATCCTCCCCTCCCCTCCCCCACACACACAGGGCAACACCAAATGCAGCCAGCCGCTCACAAACCAAAAAGACTCACGCCATAAAGCGCTCACTGAGTCCCTCAATCAATCTCTCCGTCAAAACCACCGCACCCCCCCTCCCCCCACCCACCAAAACCCCTGTCTGAGGGAGGCGCTCTCTCGATCTCTCGACGGTGGTGCTATCCGACTGCCAGCTCCTTGGCTTTGCCCTCCGGGTCGTAGCTGTCTTTGAATTGCTCGAAGACCTGTTTGAGCCCCGCCACATAGAGGTCCTGGTAGTGCTTGATTTGCTCCTCAGTGGGGTTGTCAGTCTGCGGGCACTCGATGGGGTTGCCAATGATGGTCACCAGTCGGTGCCGCTGCGGCAGGAGGCCGAAGGACTTTTGGAAGATCCCCCGGCCCACCAGAAAGGGCACCGCGTACCCCACCCACCTCATTGCCAGCTCTATGTACCACACAGTCCATCCAATGCACACGGGCATTTGGAGGAGGTCAAAGAATGACGTCTGTGGTGTGGGACTGACTACTGGGGGGACTGACCATTGATTCGGTAGTACATTGTGCCGGTCTTGGGTGTCCTATACCTGCACACACACACACACACACACAGGCATCGGCAGGAAGGCAGGCACAGAGACAGACAAGTCCCTACCTGTAGATATAGTTTTCTCCGAAAGTGAATGCCGGGAAGAGGTAGACGCCGTATCGCAGCGCTAATCGAAAGAAGCCCTTCCGCCGGTACACCAGCACAGTGTACCTGTCGCTTGTCTGACTCGCCTCACGCGCACCGCCCACATAGATAGACACACCGTGCCCGCCGCCTTTCCTCAACACAGACTCGATGCACTTCTGCGCCACAGATACCTAGAACCAACCACACACACACACACAGAGAGAGAGAGAGGAGAGGGCAGGGTTCATTCTCTCTCTGTGTGTGTGACACACGCGATTGCTTGGCTCGCTTACGGCGCCGCAGAGAAGGACAATTTCTCTGAAGACGGGGAGCATGAAGATGGCGTTGAGGGTCGTGGGTGAGATGCGGGTGCCCTGGAAGACGTCAGTGATGTGTGTGGCCTCGGTGAAGAAGTTGACCATCGATATGGGCAGCAAAGGGCCGTGCGGATGGACACCCACCAGATACGGCCGGTCCTTCTTCAGAGGCACAGAAGGATCCTGCCGCTTCAACTCTACCGGCCAATAATCCTGATCCCATTAGAGAGAGAGAGAGAGAGACTCGGATCCTCCCTGCAGGAGGCCTTCAAGCATGCACAACGCTCACTCGGCAGTGTTTCCACCAGGAGAGAGATCTGAACCAGTGAGACCGCCAGTTGCCGTAGGTCGACCTCCGATCGCTCAGCAGATACACCACATACGGCACAATCCACCACCAGTTGACCCGATACAGAGCCGCCACGCCGATAAACAGCACCGGCAGCGCGAAACACCCATACAGCGTGGCCACGGCGGCCGTCTGCATCCGCCGCTTGCACGGCACACGCCATATGGCCCATTGGTCACGCCTGACGAAGATGATGCCGGGCAGCAGCCACAAGGCCAACGCGATGAGCAGAATCAGCGATAGCAGCCACAGCGGCATCGATGCGCCGATCTCGCTCTGCCGGATCTGTCTGCCTATTTAGGTCTGCCGGATGACGAACGGACGAATCGAATGCAATGCAGCTGTCTGTCTGCTGAGAGCGGCTCACAAACGATTGTGGCTCCGCCTTCTGCAGCTTTTCTCGTGATGACCAGATGATCAGCGGATCTCGCTGCCGGATGACGCTGCTGTTGACCGAGGGAGGCTCTCACATGCGGCAGATGCTCTCCCTTCCCTCCCGATCGCGAGCCCACTCCGCGAGCTATGCGAACATATGCGCAGTCTTGGTTTTCGTGCGTTTGACTGAGAAGGCAAGGCTTCACAGGTCGGCCAATGCTTCAAGGATCTCTGCTTGCAGCTGCATTCATCCTCGCACGCTCCATCGGCGGTCACCGTCCCTCACCCACAGTGGCCCTGTCGGCTTTCTGCAGCTCCTGTGGCCTGAAGGCGCCTCGAAGATCTGCATCTCTGCGTTATCGCCGCCACTACCATCAACACCGGCCTGGGACCGGCCAGACCACTAGCATGTCGACGTCGTCTGCAGTGGGCGAAAAGCCCATCGAATACGCATTGGTCGACCTCAGGTGGGCGAGCACGGGCACACGCGGCAGCCCTGGTGCTCACAAAGTCATCAATATGCGATGCCTCCTCTCTCTCTCTCTCTCTCTCTCTGTGTGTGTGTCTGTTTTTCGTTTTCAGCGGCACGCTGCACATTGAGAGTGAGCCGACGCCCGACGCCATTGCAGCACTGACGAAGCTTCGTTCGCTCGTCAAGGGAGTCCGGTTCGTGACCAACACGACCAAGGAGAGCCAGCGGCAGCTCATGGCAAGGCTCAAGGCGATCGGCTTCGACATCGACTCATCGGAGATCTTCTCGTCGCTGTCGGCTGCTGTGCGGCTCATCAAGGAGAGGGGCGTGGAGCGGCCCTTCCTAATGCTCTCTGAGAGCGCCAAAGAGGACTTCCGGGAGGCTGGGGCGTGTGTGGTCGATGGACAAGGTGGCGAGGAGGAGGAGCATGATCCGTGCGTGGTGGTGGGCCTAGCACCAGACTCTTTCAACTACGACACCATGACCAAGGCGATGCGGCTCCTCCTGACCCCCTCCCCGGGCATCCCCCCCACCCTGGTGGCGATCCACAAGAGCCGTTACTTCATGAGATCCGACGGCCTGGCCATGAGTGTGGGCCCGTTTGCGTGTGCGTTGGAGTATGCCACTGGGCTGACGGCCGAGGTGGTGGGGAAGCCGAGTGCGGGGTTTTTTCGGGGGGCCATGCGGACGCTGGGCGATGGCATTGGGGAGGAGAGCGTCGTCATGATCGGAGATGGTGAGTCAGTGAGTGCGGGACGGAAGGACGGAGGAAAGATTCACACACGCATGGATGCGGGCGCTCGTTGTGTTGGTTGTGTCATATCCATCCATCAGATGCGACGGACGACGTGCAGGGGGCGGTTGCATGCGGGCTTCGAGGCATTCTCGTCAAGGTGGGCGTCTGTCTTGTTGAGCGCATATGTTGGTTGCATCATTCTGCCTGAGTGAGCTGTCCTGTCTGTGTGCAGACTGGCAAGTATCGTGCCGGAGATGAGGCGAAGCTCGATCCCCAGCCGACAGCTGTGGTGGACAACTTCGCCAAAGCGGTCGAGTGGATAGAGAGTCACAATAAATAGTGCCATTGCGGAGGGCAAGGGGGCGTAGCAATGGATCGCATCACATCGCGTAGGATGGTCGGTCGCGGGCTTTCCGGTCAGGCTGCTTTGCGTCTACGGTCTCCTTTGGTATTTTGGTTTGTGGTAATGATTTTTTTGAGAGAGTGTTCATTTAATCGGTCCGTGTGTTGGTTGCTATGTGTGTCTTCTCCCGTATCATAGGCCAGCTCGATCAGATCCAGGCAACGTGCGACCACTGCATGTTGCCTGGGCCTGTTCGAACTGCTCAACAATACGGGAGAAGACACACCATGATGAACTGTCCATGTGCAGCGTCGCGCATCAGACGAAGGCGCTCATGAACACAGAAACACGTTGTACGCTCTTCCAGACAACTCATTCGACTATACACACTTCCTCCACACACACCCTCCCA